AATAAATATTTATTTGTATAAAAAAATTATTATTTGAATCAATTAAACGTTACTTATTTGCTTATTTCAAATACAGAAATTATTGGTTCAAAATTTTATTTAATTCAAATAAAAATTATTTGGTTCAAGTAAATAATAAATTAATTAATTTGATTAATTATTTAATAAAGAAAATTTTTTTTAAAAATTAAATTTAATTAGTTTCTTTTACTGTTCTTAAAATTTTTCCAAGTCTGATTTATAAAAATAATTTTAATTCAGATTTTCAGCATTCTACAATTTATTTGTTAGATTTAATTAGTTTTGCTGTGATCAATATTTATTCATTTTAAGAAAGAATTTTTGTATTAAAGATTTTTAGTCGCATTTATAAATAAATTTCCAACAGATTTACAATCAATTGTTTCAACTATATATAAAAATTTATCCACTCTTGATACAAAACAATTATGTTTAAGTCTTCATTAAATTTGATAAATTCAATAAAAACTATTTTTGATTTTACCCAATTATTTAGAAACTTTTTATCAAGATAAAACTATCACTAAACATAACCTAAAATTTCTGTACCATAAGGTCCCTTTTCTCGTGGAGAATCACATATAATTAACATTTTTTTAAATCTTAATTACACTGAGAAAAATGTTTAGTCAGAGCAACCAAAATTTGATTAAGCCAAAAAAAAATTTTTGTTGGTATTTAAGCAACTAAACTATTTGTTTGAGTCAACCAAAAAATTTGGTTGAATGTTTTTTGTTGGCATAACAAAAATGTTTGGTTGATCAAACAGTTTTTTTTCTAAAATTAAAAATTCTATTCTACCTTATTACTTTTCTTTTTATCTCTTTTATTTATTTAATTATTTATTTATTATCAATTTGACATTGAATTTATATTTATCCAATTAAAATATTTGAGGACTTTGAAAAATCTCATCTCCGCCTGGGATCGAACCTCTGTTTTAAAACTGAAAGTCGGGAGCTCTGACCACTGGACTACCCATCCTTGTGAGAGATTTAAACTAACAGTTCTCCTAAGCTATAAGCTGAGAGCAAATCAAATTATTTGGTTGTCGCAACCAAATTTTGGTTAGGACAACAAAGGATCATTTGGTTTTTTAGACCAAACTATTTTGTTGTGTTAACCAAATTATTTTGTTGTCGTAACCAAATTTTGGTTGGAATTTAAAAATGTTCAACCAAATAATTTTGTTGGCCTAACCAAATGTTTGGTTGAGATAACTCTGCGACTTTGTTTCAGCCAACCAAAATTTGGTTACAAGAACCAAAATTGTCTAACCAAACAATTTTGTTGCAAACACTAAATTTTTTTCTCAGTGTAGGACAACAAAAATTTTGTTGATCCATTAAAAAAAAAAAAATAATAATAATTTGATTTTGCACCAAATATCAACTAAATGTTTTATTGTCAAAAGTCAAACATTTTTTTCTCCATTCACTCGAGTGAATCATTGGGTAACAAAGAGAACAAATCGTGGTCGTCAGAGTTTGCTCGAAACCGAAAAGAAAAATGATTGCTCGTTGAAGGTTGTGAAGGTCCTAAATAATATAGTGCACTCGTTCCTCGAAAAGAACAATTTTTTCTTATATACAAAAAGAGAGAAAAAGAAATAGAGAGAAAGAAAAAAAGATTGAGAGAGAAAGAAATAGAGGTATATGTATAGTCTTGTAGGAAAAGTTGAGGGCAGATTCGCGTGTCAGGTTGATATTACGTTTGCGAATGTTGACTGTAGTTGCGATTATAGTTAGTCATATAGCCGAGAGAGCAAAGGTAGGTTGGTAGGTGTAGACCGATTTGGTAGCTTTAGTAGGATATGTTGACTAGGTCAAACGCCTTTCTCATGCATAGTCATATCCTAATCATGTGCTAACGACATGTGCATATAATACACCGCTACGAGGGCGCGGGTCGCTTCTTATCGAATCACTCATTTCACCTCCTAAGAAACCCCCATTATTAATTTCATTTCCTTCCGCGTGCCGCTTATATATTTCCGTTTATATTTCACTTTCCAGTTCATGATCGTGCGGGCTCTCATTTTATTTATTTTTTTTTTTTTTTGTTAATGGACATTTAATAATTCCTCTCTTTTAGCCTATATAATTTCAATTATTATTCCTCCACAGCAAACACGTTTTATAAATGTTCTATGACAGTGAGATCACAGTTTTATAGAACATTTGTTAGAAGTTATAAATCTGTTATAAACACTGAGAAAAATATGCTATTGAATCAATAGAATTTTTGCAAAAGGTATACTGAGAAAAATATGCTATTGAATCAACAGCATTTCTGCTAAAGGCATAAAAATTATTTATTCTAAAGCATATGCTATAGAATTTGTAAAGATCCTATAGCATATATGCTTTTGAATCAATAATTTTTATGCCTTTGGCAGAAATAAATTGATTCAATAGCATATTTTTCTTAGTGTATAAAAATTATTGATTCCAAAGCAAATGCTATAGAATCTATAAAATAATTTACAAATTTTATAGCATATGCTTTTGAATCAATAATTTTTAAACCTTTGGCAGAAATGCTGTTGATTCAATAGCATATTTTTCTTAGTGTAACATCTTTGTTACAGAATTCTAGAACACTGTTACAAAGAAGTTAAAGAACCGTTCTAATACTATGCATAAGTCATAGTTCTGTAACATTTATGTAACACAATAGTCACAATCTGTTACTGACGTTCCAATGTAGTTCTAGAACTGTGTCCAAACAATGTTATGTAGCTGTTTTAAAATTCAATTGCAGATTAGTTCTGGATGACATTTGTACGTCTATAAATCGGAAATAATCTGCAACAGAGTTAAATAATATTTCTATAACATTATATAGCCACAAATTTTTTGATAATGTTCCATCACAAATCTAGAACTGTATCGGAACAATGTTATGTAACTGTTCTAAAATTCTGTTGAAATTTCGTTCTGAAATATATTTGTAACTGATATTAAAAATTTTAAGTCTTCATATAGGCGGAAAAAATTTTGGTGCATCAGATGAGCAATCTATGGTAGAAATATTGTACTATGGGTTGAGGGCAACTATTATCCTGATTTGGTGCATCGAAAACACTGTAGGGGACATATAGGTTGCCCCAAACCGAGATATCTCATGTCCGTTTTTAAAGTACAAGATTTTTTTTAACTAACCAGTACAGCCGGTACTTGAAAATTATTATATAGCTAAAAATCTGTAAACATAATTTTGAGGGACAATTACTATTATATATAGTTAAAATTTACCGAGTTTCAAATTTTTTTAAATTACTTTGGCCGAAATAAAAAATTAATTATTTAGTGCAAAAAAGATTTATACATATATATGCAACTCATTATTCATCGAGAAGTTTATTAAGTAACAAGTTAACATTTCTTTTTTCAAACTTAGAGGCTTAAATAATATTGATTACTGCATGAATGCTTTTATAAAAGAGGTAATTTATTTAAGTAAAGTTTGCTAAGGGGCACTATAAATGTTTTTGAGGCGCAAAAAAAAAGTGGAAAAAAACTATTTATAAAAAATGCGATTTTATATATACTATATATAGGAGAGAAAGTGATGCAATAAAAGAATGATCCCCGTGAAGAATCAACACATCGATGATGAAGGAATTAGCCATGCAAGAATTGCATATTCTAGTAGAGCCAGCGAACCATGGATTAGCGGCTAATGTTGAACCGATAAGAAAACCGGCAATTACTTAATCTCTGGTTGAGAATCGTCGCGCTGTGATTATCGATAATGAATGTGCAACAAGGGTCGTGTCGTGCTTCCCAATGACTGGGTGTACGTGACCTCCCGTCAGAAAATTCAACCTTATGTGTGTAAAGCTATTTCGGTCAATGGTAATATTTTCGTATTTTTTTCTTTCAAACTTGCCTTTGCGGTATATTATCAAAAATTAAATATAAGAAATAGAATTTTTTTTTCGTCTTTCCGTGATAATAGAGAAATATGAATTGCAATTTCTTTGCAAACTCAGTAGAAATAATAATATTCAATTTGTTTAGTAAAGAAAAAAAAATTTGTTTCAATCAAATAATCGGTTATACTTGAATATTATCAAATAAATATTTATTTGTATTGAATAATTATTATGAGTTATTATTATTTGAGTCAATTAAATTGTATTTGATTCAAAGATATAAATTATTTGTTCCAATACAATTTATTTAATTCAAATAAAAATTATTTCGTTCAAGTAAATATTTATTTGATAACAGTCAAGTAATTGATTATTTAAATCAATTTATTTTCAATGTGTATGTAATTAAATAATTTATTAATTTTACATTTATTATTAATTGAGGTTAAATTATTATGAAATTACAGTATTTTATTTATTTATTAATTAATTATTTAACTTATCAATTTCTCATTTTACCTATTAGTCAATAATTAAAATTTTCATTTATTTAATTTTTTTTCTAATTTCTACACGGTGAGAAAAGTGTATCGAACATCAGTGCAAGCTGAGTGACAATTACAAATTATTTTTTAATTCCTGATAAATATTCAATTACTTTATAATTATTAATGATGATTTATTGTTAAATTTATAATTTATATAATTTGCTTTATATTGATCCTTCATTAAACTTATTAATAAAATTATCTATCAATTAATTATTTAATTTAATAATTATTTTATTTGAATAATTTCATCAATAATTCGATTGTAAAATATTTTCTTTCAATAAAAAATTCTTTTTATTGAATTGTTAATTTTACTGCACACCAATAATTTCATGTTACTGTAATTTTCATTAATTATTACCATTAATTATTTCCAAAATAATAATCAACAAACTTCCTTTTAAAAAAATCCTATTTTCCTCAATTACTAACATTAAAAATCACATTTTTCGTAACTAATCAACTCCTAACAATATTTAAATAAACTTGAAGAAAAAAATTCATTTTTGGACCAAAAAAATGTCTATGAACAAATAGAGAAATCTTACCTGAAATTTATCCATGATATTTTTTTTTACATAAATGTCTTCACACACTACACTATAAAAAATCCAACACACAATATGTATTATCAATAAATATTCAAATCACGCACCATACGATCACGTATTTATTTATACAAAATGAAATCGATATAACAAATTTAATAAATAATTGAAATTTTACGTCGCGTACACCATTTTGCGGTAAACACTTCCTCACCGGACACCCCGGGTTTAAAAAAAAAAAAAAGAACACGTGCGTCAAACTAACGTCACGTGGAACTTGATTCAAAAAATGTTGAGCCTCGTGCAGTGTCTCGGCTTATATAGACTCAGAGCAGGGGGCATTACCTGAGAGGCTGTTGTCGCTGCCAGGTGAATCGGTGAGAGGAGTTCGAGAAAAAAAAGAGAGAGAGAGAAAATATGAAACGAATTGATGTTGGGAAAAGAGAAAGAATGATGACAAGGAGGGAAAAGAAGCTACGCGCGAGTAAAGAGAGGAACCCTTCCTCACGTATCGTTTAAAAATTCTCTTTGTAGAGAAAGTAGGCTAGCCCTGTCTCGTGACTCTTACAGAAGAGCTCGAAGATGCGCTTCTTCCTAACCATTATAGCTTCAGTTGGGAATCCTCGAGAAATTATACTTTAAGCATCTCAAGGTTATTAAACAATATTTCATTTCAATCTTTTAAATACATAACTCTCGCACGCTACTGGTTCTCATTAAATTCTTTTTTTTTTTAAATTATTTTATTAATCTACAAAAAAAAGAAGAAATTTTTAATTATTAGTTATTTTTTGCTTCTGAAGAAATTCATTTTGAAAATTTTATATAAGTTTTAAAGATTATGTTATAAAATTATTTTAATGTATGTCAGTTCTTGCAATAATAATGTATAATACTAAAAAAAACTATATTTCTATAAATTTAATTTATAAATTAAATGCAGAAGTTTTAGATTAGGAATTTTGTGAATTGACTAGATTGCCAACCATGTAACAGAAAACTATATAGGTAATGGCGCTAAATTTAATAATTGTTTAAATAATGAAGTGTCTATATCTACTTCATAAGAAATTCCATTAAAATATAAAGAAATTATAGAAATATTGAACATTTATTGAAATTGAAAAACACTTTGCCTTTCAAAATAAAATTTCTTTATTTTTCTTTAATTGAACAGTTTATTAAATTTATTTATTAAACATAATTTCTTATAATATTATAATTTATTTTAAACTCATATTTATATTAAGAGTAGGTGAAAGACCATTTTTAAAAATCATATTTTAAACGGAATTTATTAAGACGAAATTCAGTGAAATTCTTTAACTTATATATATATTTTTTTATTTATTACACTAATTATAGAAAAAAAAACTACTGTTAGGTATACTTATGACCGAATTTATTATGTGTAATATATTTAAATTCCTCACATTCCAAGGAATATCTGCTTTCCTATGTGTTGAAACATCAAATTGGAAACGTTACGTTCAGAACAACAACTTTCATTCTCATCCGTTACTATAAACCCCCCCCCCCTTCTCCCTCTAAATGTGGAAATTTGATTAAATTCTTCTCCATTCGTAATCAAAATAAAAAAAAAAATCAATAGAACTTTTAATTTTATATACAATGAATTAGATAAATAATTATGTAAGAAAAAAAAAGTAATATTTATAATGATAAAATACTTTTTAAATTTTAATTACTAAAAACTTAACTTAATTTGATTTAATTAAAAAAAAAAAATTTGGACTTTTACAAATTCGTTAGTTAGAACTTTAATTCATAGCAAAAGGTCAATAAAAAAATCAAAGTAGTTAAAAATTTTACTAATGACTTTTTACTAATTAATTATATTTTAAAAAAAGTTAATGACTAATGTAAAATATAAATAAATAATAAGATTAATTTTCAAAAAAAAAAAAAAATGTAAATTATCTCAAAAGTGTGATAAAAAAAAGAATTAATGTATATAAAAATTCTATGCAAATAAATCTCCTCGGATAAACAAACACAAAAGTTTACAACCATAAAATTATTCATAATTTTTACAACAATATTTCACAGACAATTTTATCACTAAGTGGGAGAAAAAAATGTCTGTAATTTCTCTTCTTTGACCTTTCACGGCTTTAAAGACTTAATATATTTAACGCCCAATTGGCATTTCACTATATCTTATAAAAAAAAGAACCATAACAAAATTTGAAATAATTTTCGTACATTTACTCTGTTCAATAATGCAATCATGAATAAAAGATATTAACAATAATATTCATGTAAATTCATCTTACATTATCATTTCTCTCTCTCTTTTTTTTCATTATTCTTATCACATTTTATGAACCTTTCAAATTTTTCATAACTCACTTAACGAAACACATATATATTATTATTCTTGTAATAAAACTCAAATTTGCCTGAATATATTTTCATCTTCAAATTTATCTCAAAATGATCGATTATTATTATTAATTTTTTTCAAAGATTTGAATAGAGTTTAAATACATATCGAATAAATGAACAATCAGAACGTGATTCTGTAGTTGAGAGACATCGTATAGATATGATCTCACACAGTGAGTGGATTTAAATAAGGTAACGAGAAGTCATATCGAGGTTACTTGTGCAATTTTCTTTAATGGCAATTCGCAAAGAATAAAATAAATTGCAATTAATTTAATTAATTAATTACTTTATCAATAATTAAATTAGTTTTAATTAAATAAAATAATCACTCTAAATCTGAATTATAGAGAAAAGTGGACAACTTTAGTTTATATTGTTTAAATGTACTATCAAAAAGTAATAACAATAATTAATAACTTCAATTATTATTAATATTAATATTCAATTAATAAATTTTATTATTAACCTTAGAATGGAAATATAATTTTTTTACACTCTAATGGAAAACTGGCGTCTGTCCGTCCGTCAGTTGTACTTTTCGTATGGTTGCCATGGTAACCGTTTCCATAGCAACCATTTCCATGACAACTGTTACCATAGCAACTTAGCGTGGGATGCCTAACCACCCCACACTGAGAAAAAAGGTTTGAGCTGACAACCAAATATTTCATTTAATATATGTGCAACTAAAATTTTTTGGTTGACACAACTAAACTTTAGTTGACATTAACCAAAGTTTGGTTGAGACTACCAAATTCTTTTTCATTTTCTTATTTAGTCGTCTGAAACAAACTTTGGTTGTTGTCAACTAAAGTTTAGTTGTGTCAACCAAAAAATTTTAGTTGCACATATATTGAATGAAATATTTGGTTGTCAGCTCAAACCTTTTTTCTCAGTGCAGTTTTCCATTCTAGGGTTAAATAATTTTTTATTATTATAACTCCAATAAATTGTTTATTATAATGACGGTAACAACTCTCTAAATATATGAATCAGTGAAAAAGTCATTGGTCTCAAATCAGTCGCTTAATTCTAATTTTTTGAATCAGTAACATTTCACTGATTTTAAGTCAAAGTAATTGATTCTCCAGTGAAAATGTCACTAACTGTCACTGAAAACCACTGATTCAAATAGCTAGAATTTAGCGACTGATTTGAGACCAGTGACTTTTTCACTGATTCATATATTTAGAGAGAAGACAAATTAGAAAATAATTATAGCTTCAATAATTGTCAGATAAAAATAATTACAGCTTACTTAGATTAATTAGAACTAGCGATGTATTCCTCGCTCGGTTATAGTTGTACTTATTGTAGTTTATGTATATTATATATATAATTTATGTTTTCAATAAATATATTATTAATATTGTATAAAATTTATCTTAATTTTGATCATTATCATTGAAGGATGAAATGACAATTGTTAAATATTAACTGTTTTAATTTATTATAATTATAACAACAATATTAATTACATTATATTATAATATATAATAATATATTTTTTTATCTTATATTATATTATATTATATTGCTGTGCAAAAGTTCGAACTTTGTATGGGCTCGGATCGAATATTCGATTCAAGCCCATGTTAATTCTTATGGAGCGGTTCGAATTTTAAAAACTTGCACAGCTCTAAAAATAACACTTTTTCGGGTTAAAATTAAAAAAATATGTTACAAAAAAAAGCATGTCAGATTTTCAAAGTATTTGGATTTATTTGAAAATAAGTGAAAATAGATTTTCCAAGGACGGTGTCGAGGTCACGGTGTCGGTGTCGCTTTTGGAAATTTGTTAACTTAATATAATAGAAGATGTTTCGATTTAAAATAAGAAATGTTAAAATTAAGTTAAAAACAATTGATTTCAATGACACTTAAAATTAGGCACAATATTATTGGTTCCTAACTAAAAATTTAATAAACAACAATAAATAATAAAAAAAAACCATAAAAATTGGTAAAAAATTGTTTATAAGTAACTATTTAAAAATAGAGTAATTTTAAAGGTATATATCCAAAAATTCGTAAAAAATTGCATAAAATTGCAAAATATCCCTTTATTTGGGATGAAAATGCAAAACATCCCTTTTTCGGGTTAAAATTAAAAAAACATGTTACAAAAAAAAGTATGTAAGATTTTCTAAAAGCATATGGCAAAGTATTTTGATTTATTTGAAAATAAGTGAAAATAGATTTTTCAAAGACGGTGTCGAGGTCACGGGGTCGGTGTCGTTTTTGGAAATTTGTTAACTTAATATAATAGAAGACTTTATAGTTAAACTACTATAACAGCTGAAGTTAATTATAATTAAATATGATTTTAAAATTTTTAAAATGAAATTATTACACCATAAAAAATTTATAATTTCAATTCAGAAATAAAAATTGTTATACTTTTCACTAAAAATCAAATTTAACCTAGACATTCACATGTATACAAAATGCCAATTGATTTTTATGCTTCAAAGAGCTCGAAATGAACGCATACTGAAAGACATATTTATATATATATATGATTTGAAAATTGAATTGAAAGATATCAATTGTGAGTCATATGTCGAGGTAACTTTTGCAATTTTATATATATATATATATATATATATATATATACACACAATCTGACAATCAGCCCTGTTACATTTGATTCCACATTCTCTCTACTTATGCGAGCTCTAAAAAAAAGAAGAAAAAAAAATCTTTGTTACGCATTTCACGATACAAGAAGCTAACAATTGTGTAAGTCACGTGCAGATTAAACAACGTGGATTAAATTTCAGTGCAAGTCTTCAGTGTTATACTTTCATTTTCGAAACTAAAACTATTTCAACTTTCATCCTCGTGCGAGTGCATGAACTTATTACGCAACAAATGGTATTTTAA